TAACAAGTGCTCCATTGATATGTATCGTTTGCGATTTGTGGATCAACAAGTTGAATAACTGAATAACTAAATTGTGACTTAAGTAACAGAGATAACATCGCTAAAAAGCGGTCGTGTGAAGGATAACCGAGATCCTAGTTATCCTTTTCGTCGCGGGTGGCATCTTAACTACTTATCACAGTTTTTAAAGGGGTTCATTAATTTCTCCACTAAAATTCGCCGGCTTTAGGGGGATTTACAGCTCCGCAGGCTTCTTTAAAATTGGTGGCGTTTAGCGGACTGAAGTAATCCTCGTGCAGGAAGCGTATAATGTTCTCAATGGGACACAGATCGGCCTTGTTTCCCCTGGAGTCTCTGGTGACCCTCAGGCTCTTGCCGCCCTCACAGAAATCAATCTGCTGGGTGACATCTCTGCGTTGTACACCACACGGAAATATAATCAGTGTGTGCCTCACTTCGATATATACTTCAAATGCCAATCTGGAGGCATACGCTATGGTTTGACCCTGACTAGGACTGATGATGCCCAGGGCTGCCGTCAGATATTGCATGTGCAATCGTGTCCAGATATGCACAAACTTTGTCCTTCCCGGAGATCATCTTTAGCATATAGCTGACAATGTGACGAATCATGCCGTAGGAACGCAGCAATCGGATAGTTTATAGTACGAATGGCCGGCGAGCGTTGGGATAGCTCATCTGCAACGACATTAGGGTGTCCACTGGGCAGGTTCCACGCAGCCTCTTGGGGGACTCGTCTGCCTGTATTAAAGGGTTACCATTCTCTACCTCTGGGAATCAGGATCGAGCTGGCCTTGTGCCTCCTGAAATTAAGAAATAAATATAGATATTTGGGAAGAATGCTTCTTAAGGTACAAATAAGTACCTGCAATAGATTGGCGGCCGTCTCATCCTGATCTATATTGATCACATCCACCAAGCTCCTGATTAGGTTCTTCTTCACTGGCTTGGGCGTGACAGGCTGCTATTTCCTCCGACACGGTCAGGGCAGCATCATGGCAAAGGACGGTCAACAAGGCATCAACACCTCAAAAGGATTGTTGATCCATTGGGTGTGTGCTGCAATATAGTTACCGGCCGATCCACTGTCATCACGCCCATAACGTCGTTACGTTTAGGAGCTGCTATCCCCCATGGCCTCCAATCGGCTTGCGGAGCAACGCCGACTGGGACAACTACATCGCTGAAACAGAACCATGCTATGTGATTCGCGTACATTAAGTGCCAGCCACTTGTCCGGCGGCAGGAGAGAGAACAACATGGCCAGGGCGGATTGGAAGGTGGCGTCGATAGCGAGTGGTAAAGACCACCACTCGTCGGAATTCAATAGCGGTGTGTGGCGTTGTTTCCACCGAAGCACGATTTGGATTCGGCTTCAGCAAGAGCCCCAAGGCTATGGGCGTACACCTGATGCATGATTTCGCCAACGTGAAGCAGCTGAGAGATGCCCCTAACAGAAGGAATATAGAATAAAAGGTGGTTTATTAAAGACCTTCTCCTGGCTATCCCACTCACTTGTAGGTGAGCTGCCCCAGCGGACAACCGCGCTCCGTGGCCGGAAGCAGGGGAAACCCATGGAATGGTCCCACCTTATTCCAGTACATGTGACTTGAACCAGAGGCAGAGCTACTCTCGAATTGTACAGAAAACTGCGATACCTAAAAGGGAAAATACATAAAATTAGTGATAATCCTTTTTTGGTAGTGTAACTCACTGTTAACCAGGTTAATCTGTGCCACCAGTCACCCCACAATTGATGCCAGCACTACGAACATGGGATATGGGCCCTCGATCTCCGTGTCGGATGACCAACAGCACGCCCTGAAGCTTCCAACCCTCCAAGAGCGCCATCATCGAAACGCTGGAGTTGTGATAGCGGTGCATCAGCGCTCTCTGTACTGGCGAATCTCTGTGCGGTGGAGGAGGCTTTCGCTGGGGCACCCTCGCCGCACCAAGGAACTGCTGACGGTGCCAGAGGAGCTAGGACCAAATACTGAGCTACTGCCAGGTATGCTCTCAACATTGCCCATATAACGATACATTCCTACAAACAAAAGAAAGAGAGTAAATTAAGTGAAAATAATTAATGTAAGAATTTAAACTTACCCGCAATGAGCAGGAATATCAAACGCTGAGTAGCACATAGCAGTAGAAGGCACGATGTTGGTTGGCCACACGCTATCAGTTCCTTGAGCAGCCGCATCCTGGCCAGCATTCCTTCCACCACTCGCTCTTGCCTCACCGTTGCTCCTCCTACTCGGCATACAACTCGAATGGTCGGCACTCTTGGAGGGTTCTGGACCGTGATATATAGCTTCGTTGTAATCCCTGTCCAGCGTTGAATATTCCTGGTAATTATGTTTTGTCAGGTGGCTAAAGAAAATGAGAAAACCTGGTTTACTTTTGTTAAGAGGAGCGTTGCTTGGGTGGGGACAGCTGTCAAGTTACTACGTGGAGCATGTCCAATTATCAGGGGCATGCGCACTGGAGGCCACAGTGTTATAGCTGTTCTGCAGCACAGGGGTGGCCAAAAGGGGAGAGATTCTAAATTGAGAACAAAGGAATTATCAATTCTAAGATTACCCTAGAAAAATCTAAAAGAAGCTGCTTAAATTAAATATAAATTACATATTTTGCGTGTTCAGTATAAGCTTAGCATCAAGCTCGAGTGCACTCTTTAATAACAAACTAAATATGTTCCCAATACAATTGTGGCTTTGGCTCCAAGGCGAAATAAATATGCGTAAACTGTTGGCTTTTTGGCAGCCGATAGGCGGGACTTCATTTGTCCACGCGCCTTTATAAATATCATATATATGTTAATAGGTTTAAATGTATGCTTTCTGGTAGACCAAAGATCGTGGTGGGACTGTTTGAGATTTGAGATCCAGCCTACTCCTGCGCAGCAGTCAAGGCCAAGACAGTGAAGCGCACTTCGTTGGGATCGCGGGCCATGAACTCTTTGCAGACCTTGGCGGCATCCTTAACAAAGGTCTTCCGAGGTGGCACCATGCTTAATTGGGAAGGACTTGCGTCCATCCAGCTCGTACAGGGTGCCTTCAATGTTCACCAGGCGATAAAGTGATGGATCACCGTCTCGTGCTCGGAGGCATTGGTCTGACCCTCCTGAGCCAAAGCCTGATGATCGGCGGTGAAGTCCTTATCGTTCTCCAAAGCCTGACCACGCTCCTCCGGGGATAACGAGGCTGTCTTTTCCAGGAAGCTTTTTAAAACTCCACTTCCGATACCAACTCTGGAAGGGAAAATTAAATTAGATAAATTTATTTTAATTTATATTAATTATAGAAAAATAAGCAATGATAACTCACTCTTTGTTGTTGGCCACGCTATGAATAAGAGCCACAGTGCCACAGGCATTGTGGGTAAACTGGCGCATATAGAAGAGATTGGGGATGCTCCTTCACCTCTTTAATGCGTTCATGCTCCTCTGCGCGATGCTTCTCATACTATAAAATAAACAACGTACTTAGCAAAAAAACAACAAAATTTATAACAGGGGACAACTCACAGATTCGCTGCAGGGAAACAGCAAAATAAAAGCCTTCACTGGACGCGGAATCCATTCCAGTGTGTCCTCGTCCAGTCCGATGACGTCAGTCACCGACCAGGCTGGCGACACGCCCAGCTTATGTATGTACTTGGTCAGCACCTAGGAAGGGGCCAAAATGGCGTCTTTACTTTTTAATTACAATTTCCAAGGAGTCGAACATTTTCGCAACAACAACCAATTGGGAAAATGGCGAATATAAGTCATTATTTAGTTTGTTCACCTCTGGGTTTGATTCAAGTGGCGTCCAGGTCAACATTTTTAAGTTTTTGTTTTTGGAATTTGGTTTTAAAAGCGTTCTATATGAAATTTCAACAGAATGAATCCAGACAGATCGAAAAATTGTTGTCTAGACAATTACCGGCACTTTTTGCTTTAATAGTGTTGGAAAGTTTTTCGAAACGAGCTTAACATGGTAGAGGTGGGAGGTAAAATGACTATTTTAACGATATTTCGAAATATCGATATTTTAGTCGACTATCGATGTGTGTTGTTGAGAAATACTTAAAATGTTTTCAACGCTAGTTGCACATTGTTACAAAATGACCAAAGCTAACAAAACACCGCAGAAACTAAGTGAAACCAATATTAGTGTCTCCTTGACACCAGTACGATGTGTTACCAATGTAAACATGTCAGTGGTCAGAATGTAATAACACACTTAAAGATCTCGACAGTCCCCGCCAGCAATCGCCGTCAACAAGCCATGATTTAACTTGGCCACCTGTAAAACGCGACTGGACAGCTTAACCAAGCAACTGCAGGATAACTACGCCAAATGGCAACTGGCCCAGCAGCGTGGCACCGCATTTGTTATGCAATTGAAGCCAAGAAGACAAGTGCTTGGATAAAGCGACGACGAGCGGAGTAAGCCTATCCGGATGACCTGATCTCGCCCTGCAACAAGTGGCATTATAGCTTCGATTTCGGCGATATAGCGAACAACACAAAGGAGATCTACGGCAACTGAGAGCTATTTCTAAATTGCCCGGTTCTGCGGGAGATACGATATTCTACAGATCCTGGAAGTTGCCACAGTTTGTTGCATTTACCAAAGAATTGCGGAGAGGTACGAACAGGAAGCTCTGATCAAAAGGGATGTGGCAGGTAAGAATGCACTAAAACTCATACATATCCGAGTTGTATTATAAAATTTTGTAGAAAACATTGCCCATGCGATCGAAAGAAGTCAACTGATTGCCTACTCGACTTTCTGGGAGTTTCCCGACACGTAGAACCCTATGTGCACTTAGGTTTCTTCTTCTCTCCGAAGAACTTAATTTAAAGCAATAAACTAAGTTAATTTGTATTTTAATACTTCTTTTTGTGACTATTCATGTTGGGCAGTATGTTACAATACAGCTTGAGATTCATGGAAAGCTTAACCAAAAAATATGTAAATTCGAACAACTTTAGGCTTATGCTCTACGAGAAAATGGGAATGCAACTATTAAATGCTTTGTTACTTTTAAGTCTGAACTGAGATCCTCTCCAAACGAGGAGCGGCTTGAAACTTGCTCCACCACCAGAACCAGGCGCAGGAATCCCACTGCCAATGTGGTACAGTACACAATTGTGGCCAGGCTGAACTTTCTCTGTAATAACAAACAAGGTAATTAGTTTTAGCTGATTAGAACTAATTAGGGTTTCAATAATCACCTTCTTTGTGTTCTCCTTGGCCTTGATATCCTTCTCGTTCCTAAGACTCTGGACATTGGCTTCGATTTTCCTCAGGTCGTTGGCTATCTCATCCGTAATTTGCTTCACGCTCTTGAGTGTTTCCAAAGCAAAGCGACTGGCATAGCGCTTTATCGCCCACAACAACGTCCTCCGGCGGCAGCACCTGCAGCTTGTAATTGGTTGCAGCCAAAGAGGCACGCAGGGACATGAAGTGATTCCCGGCATTCCCCAGTATCTGGTTGTTATAGGCATTCGCCTCGGGGGCATTGCAAATGTACTCATAACTTGGATCCTGATTCGGCATCGGGGCAAACATGTTCAAGAGCTCTTTGCGGTGCTGGTCCGACGTGAAACCGAACAGCTGTAAGTCTTCGTCGGTGAGCGATGCCAGATCCCTGTAGCTGATGTCCTCCGAAATCAGCTTATCCACACAGTTGTTGACCTCATCCGTCTGGCTGTTGGTGGCCAGCAGGGTATTAAGGCGGCGTTCATGCGCGAGTCCCTGTGACCTTTCTTCTTCATCACACGGACGGCGCTCGTTGCCCAAAAAAGCACTGTCCAGCTCCTTTTGGTGCGTGTGCGTATGGAAGTCCTTGTTGGCCCCAAATTGCACGGCCGATGGAATGTTGGCCATGCTTTTAGTGGCACATCTCCGCGGGCATTGTGGGTTTGTCCAAAGTCTTACACGTAGTCACTAATACCAATTAATTAAGCATTTAAATGCAAATGCGCTAAAGGCGAGATCTGCTTAACCAATGTGCAGTCGTTACACAACACTAAGCCATAGGGCTAATCGAAAATATCGAAACTGGCGATTAATTAAAATACTTTCACGATTTCTAACTACACATTTTTTTATTTACGGAGAATTAATATTGGAAATAAGCTTTCTCACATAACGAGCTACCCTAGCAGAATGCCCACAAAAACTTCATAAACGCATTAAATGCTAACATTTGTATTTTAAAATGTAACAAATTTGTGAATTTTAAATAATGCGCTTAACTATTTTTTGTCTTCCTGTGGCTGTGGTCTATACACTGGTGTACTGGTGGTGGCCGCTCCTGCAAACGCTTCATGAACAAGGCTTCCGCTGGTCATCTGCACTTAGTTTTCCACTCGAACCGGAGGCCTTAATCCGCTCATTTTCTCGGCATTTGGTTCGGTCAGCAGCATTAGGCCGTAGCCCATGCCACCAAAGCCCAGCAGCCACAGCACGGACTTAAAGTAGGGATTGCTCAGCATATTGGGTTAATCCTAGTCGTTCTTCTTCTGGGGCGTTCCAGTAAGTGGCGTCCGTCTGTCGCACCTTACTATCTCCCACAAGTTCGCCGATCTTATAGTAATAATCAAGCACGAAGGGATAGTTCTCGTGGATATGCTGGCGAAACTCTGCAAGATAATCTTTATGTATTATTTTGATACTTATGTAAGCACCGCAACTATCTCACCTCGATTTGTGTTCATGCGGTAATAAACACCGTAGCTGGCTGCAAACAAACTGCCTCCAGCACAAATAATGTCTTGGCACTTCCCTTGATGAATTTCCAAATGGCGGCTTGGGTGTTTGGGCAGCATTACAAGAGAGTTAAATAAAATTAAACACGTTTGCTTGGTGGAGAAAAACAAAAAATTGCTTACGCAGGTGCCCCTTGAAGCAGTGTTGGTTAACAACCAAAGTAATCAGCTGTTCGACGGCTGTGTGCCAGTGTGTGTGTGTGTGTACTGTTGCTGTTGCTGCTTCCTCTTCCACGGCAGTGTTTATCTCACGTTTTTGTTTTTGCACTGATAAAGCGACGCAATTAGAGAATAGTTTTTCCCAAGCCGATGGAAAGTGCTTACGATGATGGCAATTACATGGACTCAGCTGGTTTCCACATTTCCCCGACAAGTTTGTGTCGTGGGGCCAGGAAATCCACTTGTACGAGGTGCGCAACAAGGACGATCACAATCACAGCCAGAAAAGTGAGTTTTTTGCGTTTCCTCCATATGTTTGGTTTGCTTGGCTTCTAACTCCTGTTATTTTTGCAGGTCGGCCTGCCGTATATATCCGTGAATTACTTGGCCAATGAGTCGCGCTACCAATATGCCCGTGCGTGGCGCCTCGTATCACAGTGATCAACCCATTATTGCGTGGGTCTGGCGGACGGCAAGGTGGGAATCTGTAATTTCCGTGACACCTACGACAGCAGCTGGGAGTACAGTGAGTGGCGCCGAAGCTTTAAGTTATCCCTATGCCGCTAACGATTACTTTTTTTGTAGCCCCGCGGCAGCAGCGCATGTGCACTTGCCTTGCCTGGAACGAACTGGATGCGAATATTCTGCCATTGGCCACGATCGCCATCGAATGACACCTGCATCACTATTTGGGACATTGAGCGAGGTGTGCCCAAGGAGACATCCAATTTCTTTGGTGTAGGCGAGTCCGCCAATTCGTTGTGCTGGGACCGAAATCATCGCACGGTCATTGCGGGCATGAGCCAAAAGATGATCAAGCTCTTTGATCTAAGGCGTAAGTTGCAACATCCAATCCTTCTTTACTCAATTCATTCCAATCTCCTCACCACAGAGAGCAACGCAACCTGCCAGAGCATTCAAACAAAGACAGTCCAGGGTTTATCTGTCTCTCCCAATGGCAACTATCTTTGTAGTTACGTGGACTCTGTGATCACGCTGTGGGATCCCCGCAACATCAAGAGCCCGCTGCGTCAGATTCAGTCCTCCAAGAATCACCTGCAGATAGCCTGGTGTCCGACAAGGACAGCCTGCTCTCATCGCTGCAGCGTGACTCTGCCTACCTCACTCTGTACGACATCCGGAGTGTGGATAATGAGAACTCTGGAGAGATTTACCATGTAAAAAGACAGATCAGTCCGTTTCCGCCAAAGTATCAGCACAGTGGAAAGTTTGCCTACGTCAATTGTCACTCCTGGCATTCAAGGGACTTCGAGAGAGCTCTCCTTCTGGCGGATGCTCTGAATATTCTGGATTTTCGTCTGCTGCCACTTTGCATACAGCTCACAGCAATCGCCGGAAGTTACCGCTGCTCATGCAGCACCCTTTGTACGCCTCTGCTGCCGCCTCACCCTCCTCAACGAATGCGGCCACGCCCACTCAGCAAACTGCCCACGAGCAGCTGCAGCACAAATAGCGGAAGTTGTCTGGACTTTATTAGTCCAGGCGGAGGTAGTGGCTCCGCCTTAAATGTGGACTATTTGGAACCAGAGCTGTTCGAACTCGATCTGGTGGACGAGACGCGCCAGCGCGCTTTAGAGGATTATGGAATTAGGCCCGATAACAAACGATTTGCAGACCAACACTTGACGCCGTATCTGCGCAACGTCTGGGCAACCTTGCTCAACGTCTACAGCGAGGAGCGGTGACGGGACTGAAGGCCACGTTGGGTATCAACTTGGGGCACACGTCGGAGGCCTTGATGGCCAGCTCCCGCATCGATCTCAGCTGCTGCAGTGGCCGGAGGCATTAACAACTCCAACAAACTGATATGCTACAGGAGCGAGCAGCGCGACTCGGCCCTTAATCTTTGCGGCTGGGTCTTCGAGCATGAGTTGGAGCGCTTCGCCGACCAGTTGTTTGCCAACAAGGAGTACAGCCGAGCGGCCATGATTTGTGTATTCCATTTGAAGATTTATCATGCGTGCACAATCTCTCCCTGGCAGCGGACAAATGAAAGATCCAGCATGTACAGGATCACGGTGATCGCTCTGTCCAGCTTCAATGCGGATCGTTGCAGCTCCTCGTGGCGAAATCAGCGCTCCAGCGCTAATATGCAGATACAGGATCCACATTTAAGGGCCATCTTCTCGTTCCTCACCATGGAGAAGGATAACTTTGAAGCGGTGCTCAAGGAGGAGGGCGTTTCGCTGGCAGATCGCATGGCCTTTGCCTGCAAGTATCTCTCGGAGACGAAGCTGGCCGACTATGTGACGCAGCAGATCCAGGCATCCATTGATAGTGGCGATCTAAATGGATTGCTTCTCACAGGAGAGTCGCTGGACGGCATCAGCATCCTGCAGTCATACATGGACACCAGCTTTGATGTACAGACGGTGGCCCTGGTGGCAATCAACTACTTCCGGCAAGAGCACTTTGCGGACAAGCGCATCCAATACTGGATAGCCAGCTATCTGGATCACCTTAACAGCTGGGGCCTGTGGGAGAAACGAGCCGAGCTGGACATAAAAATAGAGAGCATTAGATCGTCGTCACGCAGCTCTAGAACCGTATTCCTATCCTGCAATTTCTGTGGCAAGTCTGTGTCGAATGCCCTGCTAGACGAGCCACGTCCGAGGAGCACCACCACAAGCACCAATCGTCTCTCCTCCTGCCCCAGCTGCCGGAAGCCATTGCCACGCTGCTCGCTCTGCCTGATGCATATGGGAACCATGGTAAACATGAGCAATGGCGAGACTTCACACACGGAAGTCTCCTCCGGCTGGCAGACGAAGCCCTTTTCCAAGTGGTTTTCCTGGTGCCAGACCTGTCGACATGGTGGCCACACCGAGCATATAATGCAGTGGTTCAAGTGAGTTGATGAATTCTCTTAATTACTTAATAACTTAATCTTATTTCCTTTCTGTTTTCCTTAGACAAAATTCAGAGTGCCCAGTGTCATCATGCAACTGTCGCTGCTTCGACATGGATGGCACCAAGCCGAATACGTTAAGAGACATTTCCTAGCTGTCCGGACTCCGGTTGACAGACAGACAGCCCATCCACAGCCTCCAAATACGCCCATATGCCATATGCATTAAGTTGTCATTTGTTCCAAAAACGCGCGCGCCTTAAACAACAAAAAACTCAGAAGTGTTCATTGTACTTAGACAACAGGGGATGGATGTGCCCGTAGCTTTAGTGTTTATTATGACCTACCAGCTTTTAGCTGCTCAATTGCATTTTATATTTACATTCAAAATAAAGGACTAGAAAAAGTAGTGGGTGTCGGTTTTAGTTGTTGAATATGTTGGATAAATTATTAATTTAGGCTCATAACTTTCTAAATACATTTTTTTGTAATCTTGACAGGTAAGTGATAATATTTAAGTCTTCCTTGCAGCTGATGTCACTTGTTTGTTTGTAGAAATATCGTTATTCCAAATTGGAAAATAAGGAATTTATACAACAAAAATCGAGTACTCTTTTATCATTTTACTCTTTACTTGTGATATTTAGTATATTTTTTAAATCCAACTAAAATTTAAAGAACAATTTTATTCAACTTACATTTTTGAATAAATGACCGTTTTAATGGTGTCTTTATCCACACTGTTTATAGTATTATTACACGGTATTTTGTGTTAGGTTTAAGGCCGGTCACACTACTTCGCACGTTTTTTATGCGGCATTATGTTTTTTGTTGCTTCTGACGTAAATTGCAATTTTGTTAAGGCCCCCCGGATTATCGTGCTTCCAAATTTAAGGATTAAGTGAATAGTTAATTAGTGACTATATAAACAGACTAATTAGATGTAAGCAAACAGTGCTGGTGAATTGATAAAGCCGCAGACAATACTTCGATATAAAAGTACGAGAGAGGGTAAGTAAATGCTGAAGGGGAAGAAATGAGACATGTGAGGAGGGAATTGGGAATTCGCAGCACTTTTACTATCAGTTGGAAGTGCTTTATTGCTCAAATAGTAATCAATTCGAGTCGAAGGGCAATTAATATTGAGCTAATGCTTGACCTTTTCAACTTAAAGCGTCTTGATCTTGGCGATTTCTCTCCCCCTAAATAAAACTGGTTTTTCAATCAGAACTCCCAAGCTTAAAGCCTGCAGCGCAGCATACAAATATAAAATGCAAATTTATCCAAAGCCACGGCTGCTAGAAATGTATTTTGTATATTTTCCATCAAAGAAGGCTTCTTTGAAATAGCTTTGTGGGATTATTGAATACCTTTAAGTGACGTCGCCTTACTTGTTGATTCGGGCCTTAATTTAGACAGCCCGAGACAATAATACTTATGTACGTGTGCGAAACCAAAATTTTGAAACTTTGCCAACTAAAAATTCGACGCATCGCAGGCATTTTCACCGCGTGACCCCTTCGAAACAAAAAAACGTAAAGAAAACGCACGATTTTTGGCACCATTTTTTGAATGAGTTTCGCCAGGGAAATAGAGCAAACGAAAAGCCATTTAAAAAACGGTGAAATTTGTAAGGAATTTGAACTGAAGAAGACAAGCTTTAATTGTTATTATTTCAGTTTCTTGAATCCATTCAGAAATTGGTCATAAATCATGAGAGAGAGAGAGACCAAACACAACTTAAACGCAACGAACGGTTTATTATGTCACTCCACTAAATTTAGCACTGCGCACTCGGCTCTCTTCAAGCTTTTCTACACTTCCGAAAAATCGTTGTGAAATTTTCTATGCATTGGTTTGATTTTTTAACATTTATAATATTAAAAAATTATCTGAAACTTTAAATTTTTAAAATTTGTATATATTTTTTTAGCCATTCAGAAACGATCATAGGCAAGCTTTCCGAATTAAAATTAATGCATATTTGGCTTAGTTATGAGTAGTTAAAATTTTTAT